GCTGCTGAAACGTGAGGAAAACGATCCATTTCTGAAGCGACTCATAACTGGAGATGAAAAATGGATTGTATATAACAATATTAAACGCAAAAGATCACAAAGCAGAAGTGATGAACCAGCTCAAAGCACATCGAAAGCTGATATCCATCAAAAGAAGGTGATGCTCTCTGTTTGGTGGGATTGAAAAGAAATGGCTTTTTTGAGCTGCTACCAATCGATTTATTCGAATGTGTATTATTATCAATTGAACAAATTGAATGATTCCATCAAGCGGGAGAAATCAGAATTGGCGAACAGAAAAGGTGTTGTGTTTCATCACGACAACGGCAGACCTCTCACAAGTTTAATGACTCGCGACAAGCTGTTAGCGCTTGAATGGGCTACCGCATCCACCATATTTACCTGATCTGGTAATATCGGATTATCATTTGTTTCAATCACTGCGAAATTTGTTGGACAGTAAAAATTTCAATTTAAATGAAGGTGTCAAAAACCATTTAATTCAGTTTTTTGCCAATAAGAACCCGAAGTGAACCATCTACGAGCGTGAAATCATGTTATCACCTCAAAGATGGCGAAAGGTGTTGGAACAAAATGATCAATACTTAACAGAATAATACTTTTCCTCCTATTAAAAGTATCGTCTTTCATTTTCACCCAGAACATCTAAATTATTTTCCCACCAATCCAATAACAAGAACGTTTCAGCTTTGTTGCTCCGAAAGCTGCCACAAAAATGACTGCTGTAGAGACGCAAAAGAGAGTCGCTATAAAAGTCTCGAACATCTCGCGGCATATTTAGCCGAGCGATATCTCTGTGTTGCGGATGGATCGCGCGTGTGGCCGGCTGAAAATTTCGCATGAATATTCCGCGGCCGAGCCCGCGTATCTTATTATAACACGCCCTCCGACAATCGGTGGTCGAGATAATCGTCGAAATATCGGGTGAAAAGCATCGGTGTTTCCGCCAGCCTTGTTTAGCGTTGCATTGTTGCGAGATAAATGGAATAGATAACGCTTAATCGCGGATTTATAACACGCGATATCGATCCCGCGGGCTCTTAGACGCGCACTCGGGCCGGTTTCTGTGATCGTCGCAACTGATCCAGAAATCGTCTGAAGACGTGTCGGCGAAGGTCGACCCTTAACCGCCGCCGCATTCCGTAATATGCCGTGCATAACAAATTGAGCTATCGCGGGAGTGGCTCATGAATATCCCATTCGCTCGTAGCCACTCGCGAAAGTCTCGCAATCCCTGCGTACATTATTGTAACTGTTGCAACATAACGCGAGTTCCCCGCGTTTACATCGCGAGTTTACCGTGCAAGCTTCGGCGGACCCGCCCGAAACCGAAGAATACGACTCAAGCGATCCAACCGAGCTTGCTAGAGATTCGAGGCGATTGATCTCTCAAAATCTAGGCCAGCGGACTCACCGATAATCGCGTATGAATTCAGAGACAGAACGAGCCCGGTTTAGTCGTAGTCTAATAATAATTATCTAAGAAGAGACCAACGAAATTTGTATTCAAAGATACTTTTTTATCATTTAGTTTTGCATCAACTCTTGAGCACTAGGATGTTTTTGTTACCTCCTATTACAGATGAATTTCCACCTATAATTCTTTTTATTATTTATTTTTTTTTAGTATATGTGAACTGTATTTATGAACATTATAAATCCTAGCAGGACACCGTTGTACGTATAATGTGAAAAACAGAAGCACAGTATCTGCAGATAACATCTCGATCATTTCTGAGCAAAAGTCGCAAGTGAATTGAAAGCTTTCGGTAAATTAGAAAAATATTATGTTGAACGGAAAGTTTGTACATTTTTGTTCCACTGCATCGTTTTATAACTATAGCTTTACTACGAGTTCCCTACCTGGTAATTTGATAATATGTGGCAATTTTCGCCTGCAAATTGTTCTCATCTATGGTTTTGACCGCACAGGATGTGACACATCATCTAACCCAAAATCTCCTGATCTGAATTTTCAGCCACCCACTTTTGACACATATCTTCGCAGTTTCTTTCTCCATACGTTTCACAAATGTTTTTTATGTTTTATTCTCCGAAACAATTTTTTTTCTTCCAAATAGATATTTCTGATGGGTTTTAGAAATGAAAGAACACAAGAGAAACGCTTAAAATATACTTGACAATTCCCTGGCGATTGGATTTCATTGGCGAAGTATCTAAAGATAAATTTAAGACGACTAAATATGAGATCCTACTATGAATACCGTCCGGAGGATTTACTTCCCTTTGTCCGGACATCAAATTTAAACCATTTCTTAAAATTGTCTCTGAATAACACAGCCTTGGTTAATCGTTGGTCCATGGATAGGCTAGACTATCGAAGGACTTACTGAGCCAGGACCAAAGTAAGATTATTACACTTTTGCGCTTTGTCTCTGAATAGCCTCCTAAAGCCTGATTTACAATGTGCTCTCTGTTTCTTGTTTCTTATTCTTTATCTTTTTCTGGCTTGAGACGTAAGTTTCGAGCAAAACGAGAGAGAGAGAGAGAGAGAGAGAGAGAGAGAGAGAGAGAGAGAGAGAAACAGGAAGCAAAGAACATATGTAGACAAGGCTTAAAAGTCGTAGCGTTGGACGCTGAGCATAATTTAAATTTAGTGAAAGGGTAACATTAACGCTGTGACATTCTCGAGCGTGCGTTACAGCGCGCGGAATAATTTTATCCTCCCGCTAAATTTTAATTATCGCGTCCAACGTCAACGCCCGTTGCTCCCGCTGGCGTGTCTCATGTAAAACAAGTGTATTAATTTCGCGCTGTTGATCCAAAGGGAAAATCTTGTTTGCCCGTCTACCTTGTCTAATAATAACAATCTTTCTCACCGTTTGCCTCGCCTCTTGGACTCTTCGCGTGGTTCACTGAATCTTTTTTTCTTTCCACTGGTCTTACGCGCGGAGAGAAAACGTTTGGTCGAATTAACCGCTGAATCTCGGATCAGCCGGCGATTTAAGCGAAATTTCTGTTTCTTGGAAATCTCATCGATAAGAACCAGAAATCCCGCTTCTTCCCGCCGCGAATGCTTTCGGTTCGTTCTCGTTAAAACTCGACCAGACTCTTCTCTGCGCGTCTCATATCTCGCTTGAAGCGACCGGCTGGTCGAAGCCGGGTGAGATTTCCTCAAGTTCGCACGCTAAAGAGAGAGGAAGAAAGAGAGCCTAGATTCGCGCTTCTCGCTGTCGCGAGCAAATCGTCCTCCAGTGCAGCAACAGATCGTCGAACGTCCGGTCGGGGTGGGGTGCTCGTCAGCACCCCTGGCTTATGAGAAAAGAGAGCGGTAGCGGTAAATTCCCTTGGCTCGCGCCTCCTTTTGCAGACCTTACCAGAAGAAATCGCCGACGCCGAGCAGCGGCGGCGGCAGCAGGACGGGCTGGCGTTCGCGCAGGAGCGTCACGACGGCCGGTGCTCCCGGGGGGCATCAGCACCACGTGATCGCAAGTGCCGCCGCGACGGCACAGGCCAGGATGCAGGCCGAGCAGGGCAGCATCGGCGAGCTACGTGGGTACCACAACCTGCGCTCCCGCCGGCACACCCTGGCCAACGTACGGTGAGTGCTTTCGACCTGGTTCCAACTCGTCGCGAGCGATCGTTGATCGAGCGACGACGAGCGATCGCGTCGTGGCGATCGCTAGCAGAGCGAGTTCGCCCGAGACGCTCGGCGAAAGTTCGCGGGAAGTTTGCCGTTCTTCGGACTCCCCTCTGCCGTTTGACTCCTGTCAAGCCGCTGAAAGTCCCGCTCGACGGAAGACGAGCAGTTGGGAGGAGGAAAGGTCGCGGCTGCGCTGCGTCCTAACGTACAATCGTTTGTCTGTCGAGCACGGCGTTCTGTCGCACGGTGGTAATAACAAGGATAATAATAATAGGTTCTAGTATAGTATGGGCCGTCTGTTATATAACAAGGCGATTGTTGCGTAACAATGCGCGCAGCGAGGTTCGAAAGCTCTCCCGGCTTGAGGGTGTGAAAAAGGCGACAGGATGAGAACTACCGTTTCTACGTTTTCACGTGATCATCCTTTGTTTCAGTTCACAGCTTTCCAGAACGGCGAATTCGTTTTTCCATGCTACCGGGAGACTTTTTATGCGCTTTTCACACCCCCCGCAGAGATCATTTCTTCGATTCTGAGAACGAAGACTCCGCTCACCCTGCAGCTCCGACCTGCAGCCCTTGGTCGTTCCTTATTCTCAGAATGGAAGTTTGCGATTTGCACGATATTTTTCGAACGATGTGGAAAAACGTATCGGTCGTTCGGAAGGCAATTTGCAATGCCGAACAAGGAACAGTGATCGCACATCGCAAGGTGGAAATATTGTTTCATCTCTCTCGTGTGCTCTCGGTGGCTCTTGAACCTTGCTGCGTAACGATTGACAGAAGTGGCTGGCCAATTCGACGGAGCGACCGCCGATTTGCACGCGAGGGCCCTCTCCGGTCTTAAGGTGCGCGCGAGTCGAGGAAGGATCGCCTGCGATTTGTGATTGCTCACTTGGAGTGTAATTTATCAAGCTCTCGATACATGCGTGCAACGATACGTGTCTGGTTTGGTCGCGGCGATGCGGCGCGCTGGATCAAGAGCGCGAGGCGAGGCGCTGATATAATGGAACCACTCGCGCGCGTACGGCATTGTAACGACTGCATTATCGGGAATTACGTGCGATTTCTTCTCTCATCTCTCCTTGATCCTACCCCCCCCCTCCTGCCCGATTCCTTTATCCGCACCATCTCGTTCGGAAACCGAGCACGAAAGAGCGCCGTTCGCGAACTGATTAAATTCTCCGCGAAACTTCCCCCTGTTCGTAGCCTACCTGCGATCGAGGGTTGTTCTCCCCGCGCCCCATTTTTCCTCCCAATCCGCCGATGATTGCGAGCACCGAAATACGCACCGAGGTGCGCGAGTCCAAATCCCCCCCGCTTAGACGGTCGTGCCCGATCGATCGAGCGGACTAACGACAAGCGTGCCGCGTCTTCTTCAGTCCGCACAATAGCAGTTTCCTTTCCTAGCCGGCATCGCGCCGGGCTTCTCCAGCTGGAAGCAAATGCAGCTGGGCGTCAACGGCGTCGCGTCCGTCTTCTTCGACCTCTGCTGCTCTTCCGACGGATCGGATTTCCTCCTGGACTCGGCGACCTCGGCGACCTTTCGCCTGGGTATCTTGGCCAGACACCATTGGTCCCTCTTCTCGACCGTCCTCTTCCGCGAGGCCGCGCGGCGCGGCGCCGCGGCGTCGGTCTGCTTGTCGCGCGACGCTCTCTCGACGATCTCCTCCATGCGACCCTTGTCGCGCGTCACTTTAGCCTGGACCTTAGCCCTGCAGGCCGGGCACAGTCTGTCGTACGGTATCATGTGGCTCGCCTTGACGGGAAGCAAGGCGCGCTTGAAGGCGGCCGCCAACGACGGCGACGGCGGCGTCCTCGCGTCCGCCTGCGGCCGGCCACTCGTCGGCGTCCACGAGGACGCGTCGTCGCCGCAGAGGCAGCAGTTGCAGCTAGCCCCGTCCGTCTCGGGCCGCACGGCGTAATTAATCGTACGAATCTCGCGCTCGGTGTCGCCGCGCGTCAGGCCGGCTGCCGCGGTCTTGATGGATCGCAAAAGTTGCTCCGTCGTCAGTCGGCCGCGTTCCCTCTCGACTCGCTCGTGGCTAGCGCGGCTCGTTTTATCCGTCTGTGAGCCGGCGCTGCTGCTCGTAACGGTCGATTGGTCCCTCAGGCGTTTGTGCTGGGGCATTTTTCGGCCGGTTATTTCAGGACGCCCGACTCCGCCCGACTCCGTCGCGGCCGCTTGGAAATATTCGCCGATCAGCCGCGCGGGCGGCGCGCGACCCACGGCGGCTGGAAGCCGCGCCTCGGTGTTTAGCTCGGTGGTTTCGAGCACGTCACTTTGCGCGATGAGCCCAATTTCCTCGGTGGACTCCTCGACGAGTGTCGTCGTTAGCTGCAAGCGGAGCCGGCGGATTCAAAATGTTGGTCACGCGCGCGAGTTAATGCGGAGGAGATGTCCCGGCGAGTAATAGAGCCGAGGCAGCGAGTGTATTATAAACCGAGAGGGCGAGAGAGAGAGAGAGAGAGGGGGGGGAAGGAGGGAGAGAGGAAGAGAGAGCGAGCTGTATTAGCCGGCTTCTCTCAAAGAAGCGGCAACTCGCCAAGTTTATCAAGGGGATATTGAGAGCAAAGCGGATAACTTTACTCACCGCGGAGCGTGTCACTGATCTGCTTCTCGCGGTGATAGGCGGCGACACCGTCGCGTCGGGTATAACACGCAACAATTCCCGCTCGTCCAGCTTGGTTCTTCGATCCAACACAAAGTACGGCTGGATTGGGGCTGGTCGGGGTTCGATCGTCGTCGTGGCTACCGCCGTGTCCTCTGGCGGCCTCGCTTTGACGATCAGAATTTTTTCCTCCACCTCGAAGGCTTCGAACACGTGGAACTTCTCTTCCAGTAGTAGCACCTTCTCCCGCTTCGCTTCTGCCGGCAGCTCCGCGGCCACTTCCGCCGGTAACTCTTCCCTCTCTGCCAATGGCGGTTCTTCCTCCTTCACTTCGTACGGTACGACGGACGGTGCCACCTCCGCCGGTGCCTCCTCTATCATTCTGTCTTCCACTCTCGTGATGTCTTCCACCTCGAGCACGGGTTGTTTTACCGCTTCAGCTTCTTCTACTTCCGCTACGGCTGCGAATTCGCTGACTTTGGGCTCTTCCGCCTCTTCACCTTCCGCTGAAGGTTCGTCTGCCGCGAGTTCCTCTGCTTCTTCTTTCACACCCACCGTCGGTACTGCTTCTTCAGCATCCGTTAATCTCTCCTTTATCATAACAGCTGGAGCTTCTTCCGTCTCTGCGAACTCCACGAGAGGCTCTGCTTCCTTTTCTGTCACCACTTTAATTCTTTCAGCGTGTTCGGGTGTTATTTCTTCTTCTTCTTCTTCTTCTTCTTCTGCTTCTTCTGCTTCTTCTGCTTCTTCTTCTTCTTGTTTTAGTTTCTGTACAGCTTGTTCTTCGTCCACAGGCTGTATCGCTTCATCGACAGCTTCTATTTGTTCAACAGTAGGTGGTTCTGTTAGGGTCACCGTAGATTCAGGTTGCACGTCTACTGTTGTTTCTTCTTTTATATATGCTTCGGTCGGCGCTTCTTCAGAGAACGGCGTCGACGGCTCTTTTTCTTTAGGTTCCGTTTTTACTTGAATTTCTTCCGCATGCTCGGATATTATTTCCTGCTCCAGCTTCACTTGCTCAGCGATTAGTCTTTCTTCACCTACGGGCTTCACTGTTTCATCGTCGGCTTCGGTCTTCCAAACTTGAGTTTCTATCTCGGAAGGTTCAGCTGATGTTTCTTCTCTTGTAAGATCCGCTTCCCCCGGCGCTTCTTCGGGGTGCGGGATTGGTATTGATGGTACTTTGGATTCGTGTTTCACTCCCTTCTCCTCCGGAACCGGCGATTTGTCTTCCAACTTGGCTCCTTCAACATCCACCGCTGTTATTTCCGTTATTACACCCAGCGGTGTTATTTCAGGCAACTCTGCTGGCACTTCCGGCACATATTTAATTTCGTCCTCACCGAGCCTCGCCTCCGCTTCGTGCAGCGCCACTTCTTTAGGTTTTACCTAATGGAATAATAATGTAGTCGCAGCCTCGCAGTCTCGCAACTCGTGAAACACGATCGATCAGTTCCAAAGCAATCTCAAACTTTCGCCAGATTTCTCGCTCATTCGCTGCCAAGTGGCAAGAGTGACAATCTAGAAATCACGCGGATGACGGGAAAAGTATCTACGGTATCTCGCGCCAGTCTCTTACCCCGACGTGGGCGCCGATCTGCTCGGCCAGGATGTCGGCTTCCCTTCTCACTGTCCGCAGCTCGGGATACCTCTGAAGAAAGCAGACACGACAGTTTCAGTGTTTCCTCCAAGGGCGAGTGTGTATACACAGTGATCACGTAGCGAATGCACTATTCACGAGCATTAATATTCGCAGTAGTATTATGTTCGCATGAATATTCCGATATTAATATTGATATTGTAACGTCGACGTTGCTGCATTAATCAGAATATTATGCGATTTCGGCGTATTCGCACAGCCGCGCGCCGCTGCCTCCATTCTTATCGTGCGCGTACCGCTATCTTCGCGCGAATCATATCGATCTTGTCGACCCACGCTAACACCTCGGTTCGCTTTATCACGACGTCCTGGTCGGCGTCGAGTCTCCCGACTTCCGGCATCGCTATCGGCCCGTCAGCCGCGGCCCTTTCTTGCGTCCTCCCGGCGGCCTCGACACGAGGACTCAGGATCTCCGCCGTTTCTTCCCACTTCCGTCGCGCCTCCGCAGGCTCCAAGCCCATCGCGAGCAGCTCCTCGTCATCCATCATCCCGGTAGGCGAGGTTACCACGCCGTTGCACACGACCTCGGGCGGACACGCCTCGCCGTCGTCCTCGTAGAGCTCCTCCAAGGAGCCCAATTGCGCCAGGTACTCCTCCATCTCTCGGTACTCCCGCTGCTCGGAGTCGACGTCTTCCGGCTCGACCGGCGCGAGGTCGACCTGGCGCTCAACGGCGAGGTCGGCCGACTCGGGTTTGACCGATACGTACTTGTCGTCCCCGCGAGGAATCGCCTGAGCGTCCACCGCGGCGTCCACCGCGACAGTCACAGCCGATACCTCCTCGTCTACGACGGGGACCGCCGCGAACACCTCGCCGTCCTCCACCGTGGCTACGTCGTCCAGCCGGCCGACCGGTCGATGCGCCACCCTCGGTCTCACCGCGACCTCCATGTCCGTCACTCGAGCGACGTCGTCGTCGCGGCCGATCGCCGCCTCGAGTTTCTCGATGCTGAGAAACTTCTCCAGCTCACCACGGCATGCCGCCATCCTCGTTCTGCATTTCTCCAGCGCGTCCTCCAACTCGCACACGCGAGTCGCCAGCTGCTGGTTCGCCGCGGTCTTCGTGTCCAGCTGCTCCTGGAGCACGCTCGCCTCGTCGCCCTCCACCTTGGACCAGAGCTCGTCGGCACGCTGGAGCGTCCTCATGTAGGTGTCCTCGCGGCGCTCCAGCTCGGCGATGTCCCTCTTCACGAGCAGCTCCTCCTCCGCTAGATACTGTAGCTTCTCCAGGCACCGGAGGTCCCCGGACTCGACGGACGCGACGCTCGCCACCCTGCCGAGCCAGCGCCGCCCGCAGCGCTCGTCGCCGGCGCACTCCCCGTCCTCCGCTTCCTCCTTCTCCACGGCGGCGCGCAGCGCCTCCAGCTCCTCGTTCAGCCGCCCCATCGCGTCCTCCTGCGCCGCCTGGATCCTCCGCGCTTTCTCGACCTCGCGCTCCCGCTCCTCCAGCGCCTGGGCCTTCTCGGTCCAGAGCGCCCGCGCCTCCTCCGCCTTCTTCAGCGCCAGCTTCCTCTCGGCCTCGACCTCCCGCACCCGGCAGTCGTAATGGCGGCTCGGGCTGGAGCACGCGGACGGCAGCTCGCTCGCCGCCGTGAAGCACTGCTCCAGGAGGCGCCTGGCCGCGCAGGCGGGCGCGCCCTGGGTCATCCTCCAGACATTGCAGGCCATCACCGCCGGTATCGAGCACTCCAGCACGTCCAGCCGCTGCCGCAGCTCGCCCTCCAGCTTGCCCAGCTGCTCCCGTCGTTGCTCCCGCTTGCCGAGCAGCTCGCAGAACGGACGGTGACGCGGCCTCGCCGGCTTACCGGGCTTTCCTTCCGCGGAGCTCATCGTCGTCGTCGAGTCCGCCGCTTGCTTCTCCCCTCGGGCTGATTTATTCGCCCTCTCGGACGAACATCCCGGCGCGCTCGTTTCCTTTAATATCCTCTTCTCCCCTCGAGCCGTGGCCTCCTCACGGCCCGCCGCCGGATTTACGGCCGTGAAGATCTTCGACTCGTCCGCCGAACGACGCCCCGTCTCGGCTGCCCCGTCGTCTGTCCACCCCGTACTGCGGTCCTCTCGGCTTTCCTCGGCGAGGTCGCTTTGGTTCGCCATGAGCGGTCGCCTCCTCGTTCGCCTGCTCGGTTGCTCACTAAAAATTTCACGCGGCCTCCCTCCGGATCAGCCCGACGCCCCTTGCGAGTTCAGAATCTGTCCAAAGCAGCTTTCCGTTACACGCACGGTCTCTTTCTTCCCCCTCCCCCCCCTCCCCCTCCTCCGCCCTTTCTCCTTCTCATTCTTGCTCTTCGGGGAAGAATAACTCGTCGGTATAACAAACTTTCGTCGCAGTCGCGGTGTCTCGTATATAGACACGCGTATAACTGACGCGATTTCACGAAAAATTATGCAGCCGCCTCGTGACGCAAATTACGCTGGCATGTTGGCAAATTGGCGCGTCATGCAAATTGAATAATAATTTTACGGTCGCGGTTTCATCAGCGAGAAATGTGGCTGCGCGAAATGAGAAATTTGTCGGCGCGCGCTCGCGCGCCGTTTATTCCCGTCCGTTCGGAGTGACATCAAAAATACGTTCGTTAATCGCGCAGAAGGACTTAAACGCGGCCACGAGGGCGCGCTCACCTGGCCAATTACTCGCTCTCGCGTCGTCGTGCACATACATTATCTCATAATCGTCGGATCGCGTCTCCCGCGGCTCTGATTTACGGGGATGTGTACGCCCGCCGCTCGTTGTGCCAAGCGAACGGCCGTTACATTCTCGTCGAGGACGCACCGTCAATTTTGGACAGGCTCCAACTGCGGGCAGCTTCTGTCGGCGGATTGCCGCATATCAGATTCGCGAGATTTGTCACGACACGCGCGCGATCGCAGCTCTCGATATCTCATCGTCGTAAATCCAGCCGCTCGATCTGAACATATCTACAGTCGCGGCGATGTGTCCCGCGAGTCATCGTACGCGCGCGCGCGCGCGCTAATTAACGTTGCTTCACTTCATCAACGTCTTCGGCTGATGACCGATAGCGGGCGATCCGTTCTTTATCGTGCCTCCTGAACATTGAGAAATTAATTACACGTCGGAGCGCCGAGCGAACGAGGAGGTTCTTCCTAAGGAGGTAAAACTATGAGCCGTGTTGATGGTTTAAGATCGCCGGATGAAGGGTCCTCCCATTGGCTGCGAAGCATCCGAAGACAAGCTTCAGACTATCTCCTCCGGTATCTTAGGTTCACTTTTCAAGCCGCGCGTTTCGGTCGTGAACATTGGTTTTGTCGCGCGACGTGTGGCAGGCTTGATCTCGTAAAATATCGCCCGCGTGCAAAAGTTTCGACGGACCTTGTGAACGAAAAAATAGACCGAGTACCCGAATAGAAAAATTAATAGGGCTCTGTTAAAGGCCCGATTATTTTTCCTTGACATTAATCGGGCCTTAGTAAGGATAGAAAGACCCTGTAAGATGTATAACAAACGGGTTTAATGGGTCCTTATAAGGCAATATTATGAGGACCTAAGAAAATATTTTTATTATCGCTTGAATAAAAATATTCGTTCTTTTCATTCCAAGAAATTTAGACTGTATAATTTCTTTATTTCTTTATAACCTCGTTAATATACAACAAGAATTTTTTACTATAAAAAGTATAGCCTACTTTACAATAAAATACAGCATTCTTTACACATAAGAATCCTGCTATCGTTTTTATTAAAGTTGGCTGCATTTCAACGTGAAGGCAATGCTAGAAAAATCCTTGGGAGAGACTATAATGAATATGGCAACTGATAAAACCAATAAAATTTTTTTTTCAATTGCGGTGTAATTATCATCATGCTTCATGAGGATGGTCCTAACGACTTTTTGCTCGGGTAGATTTATTTACAACGGTCCGCTCGTTCCGCCGAGTTTAATCGTTAAAAAGGAGGAGACCTTTCCGCGACGGCGCATTTTTTGCATCAGTTTGCGTCAGCGCTGCGAGAAAACCGAATCGGAGAGTCAACTTTCGCGCTCACCCAATAACGGCCGTCTCGCACACGATAGTCGGCATATATATCTCGCATATAATTGGCAGTGGCGAACGCGGCAGTTCCGACTAACGCGAGCCGCACCGAGCGCGGTGCTCGCGCTCTAAGAAAAATTCGACCCGTAGTCGAGGAGCCGAGGCGTCGCTGAAATTAACACGGCGCATTGTGCGCCGTATAAAGCCGAAAGAGAGACCCTCGGAATGCTTGTAATGAGCTTTTTCACTGTTGGACCGTTGGAGGCGCATGCAGACACGCGTTGCGGCATTCAGCCCGGGCGGTCTATTTTTGCATGAAATCGCGCTCTTGTATGCATGAATCTTTATTCATGCGCGGCGTCGCGGTAAGAAATCGTTACAGAAGTGCCCGCGCATCGAAGCGTTCCGTCAGCGACGCCCGTCCGCGCGTCCGCTCGCAGCGGAACGACGCTACAAAAGTAAGTAAACAGCGCGAGGCGCGAATTATGCATCAGACTTCGTTTAAGCGACGATGAAACTGGCTGTCGGTTAGGGACGAAATGATGCTCGGCGCGACGCCTCGCCGCCGCGCCGAGCCGCGCGTCTCGAGAGGGTTATTCTATTATTGAAATTTAGACTGTAATTATCCTCATATTACATCCCGAGAGTTCTCGCGGAGCTCGCCGTTCTTGGCGCGAAAGCCGCCGGGATTAAACGCACTCGAAACGATACCCGGTGAAATCGGGAGGGAATTATTGAAGTTTCATAATATCCCGCTGTATATAACCGGTCCGCGCGCCCTGCGGAATAAGCGATGTAGCCGGCGATCGCGCTTTTTATTACATTGAGACGTCCGTCACGCCGGCGAGATCCGGCTCGCAGGACTTGCATTGGAGCTTTTTATTAGCCGCCCCCCCCCCTCGCTCTCCCTCCCGGATATCGGCAAACTTTCTTTTTTCATAAACCGTACGTTCGGTCGGAATAAAATAGCGCGGCATCGTACATATTTCAATGTCCGGCAGCGGCAGTGGAAACGCGAGAAAAAGGGAACAACGGATAATAATTATATATACGAGGATAATAGATTGAAAAGTTTCTGACCTGACTGAGAAGAAAACATATTTTTGAGTTAAAAGAAATTTCTTTCTCAACGAGCTCCCCCTTCAACTCGATACATCAACTCGATTGTTTCCACGTTTTTCTAGACCAGCCACGCTTCCTCAGTGTAACAACTTTTGTCCAAGCCCGAAAAATAAGTCATTAACTTGTCACTTCAGCACCCGACGAAAATTTCTTCCCAGATAGCCACTTTTTAAATTTGGAAACAGGAAACATCGAAGGGGTTCAATGAAGGAATTTTATCGCGGCGCGATACCCCCCAATTTCTTCATTGTTGGCAAACTGTAACTTTGCAAGGCTGTTAGAAACAAATGAATCGAACGACATCAAACTTAGTTCTTTGTGTTTCTTTCGCTGCTATCTATCGGATAAATATTGAAATTTTACTGAAGTCCTGCTCTTTCTTGGTTAGTCCGGATGCTTTTCAACCTACCCTCGTGTGTATCGTGAGCGCATACGTGTATGTTCTCTGCATTGAGAGTTTGAAATATTTGTCTTTGGAGACCAAGACTATAAGAATGTCCCGAGCTAAATATTATATGCGTCTCGATGTGTCGATATTTCGTCTCAATTAACCTCACATTAATGCGGGCGATGCACCGCGAATGTCCCACCTAAAAGAAAGTAATTTCGGAACAAGCGGAGTCATCTAAATTTTCGAGGATTTTATTCTTATATATGGCCTCAAGAGGATTCCTCCAAGATTAAGAGGAAAATATTATAAACACATTATTCTTCAAGTTAGAGAGATTATATGTGTTATATGTATAATGCAAATCTTATTTACTTTAATATAAATTTCCCTTTATACACAGATTATTTTCCGTCTTTTTTCAAAAGAATTATTATTTATTCTTACTGTACTTTATTCTTATTGGTTATAGTAGATAATTTGCAAAAATTATTATAATCTATAGCGAAAAATAATATACATATATAAATGTACTTCTGGCTACAGTTCTACAATAAGTAGGCACGAATGGAATAAGATCATCATAACAAATAAATTTCCAATCAGATTTGTTATGGACTTCATAGCTACAAAAATGTTCATCATAACCAATTGTATAAAACATAGTTAAAAGAAAGAATATATTATTCAACTTCTTGCAGTAGATTATAAAAAAGTGTATTTGACCAGATATGAATAAATTATTTTCGTTATATGTTGCAGCAACACACATACCTTTTTTAAAAAGCGTTCCAAATATTCTGACCGTTGTGGTTATTTTTTCATTCATTTTTTCGTCTGGAGGTAGACCATGACTGAACAAAAGAAGCCGACATTCAGATCAACATATTCCTCTTCATGCAAGAGGGAAATTAATTGACACAAGAGGAAATCCTCTTAATTAAATAAAAATAATTGATATAAGAGGACATAATAAATAAAATCAATTGATATTGAAAAGTCACTTTACGGATAGAATACTTTTTTTCTGGCTGGTCGCAATTTCAGAGATGTTTCGGTTAATTTTCAAGGTTGACGAAGGGCGAATGGATGTTTGTTATCTATTATTTATTGCTTAAGCCAGTTTCAATCAGAATACTTTCCACCGCTTGTGTGTTACCTTGTGTGTAACCTTCTCCCATCTTGCCGGCAGTAAGTGGATTCTACGTGGTGGGAAAAAAGACTCATCCTCATTCATCGTCAAGCCGGAAAATTCAGCGAAACACCTGATATCTCGCGGATACGCTAATTCTCCCGCTATTCTCCTCTGTCTCCCTTGAAACGATTCTCTCTCATTAGCATTGGCTAATGGCCAGGAGCATTAAAAAAACTCCGAGGAACAAGCTGGCGAGGATTGGGACGGATAAAAGGCCTTGAAGCCGTACATTGCGATACATTGCAGCGTGCACATGTACCTATTGGATATCGCGATTAACGGAAGCTTAATTCCGCTTATTTCCCCCGGTCCGTTGTTCGCGCGATTTATTTACCTTTCCATGTACGTGTATGTATATGTGTGTGTGTGTGTGTGTGTGTGTGTGTGTGTGTGTGTGTGTGTGTGTGTGTGTGTGTGTGTGTAGATATATTCGATAATGTGACGCGACTCTCGCACGCGCGGCGCAATCACTTTCGTCCGCTGAACAGCGCGAGTGGCCGACCGGCCGGCCGGGCCGTCTCGGGCGCGATACATCAACCCTTTTTAGCTTAAAACGCACATC